GGGAGGCCTTTGCCATCACTTCATGGCCTATTTGTTTTGTATATCGAATATTTCAATGATTAAATTGCCACCTGTGCCGCCTTGCAACCAGTAGCTGAGATGAATAATAATAATTGTGATGAGAATCGTGTCTTTTAAATCCAAGACAACATGAGTCGCAAAGGAAAAAATGTCCAGCGTTTCCTTTGCCATTTTGAATGGATCCCATCAGGTCCGCCGGCTTTGTGCCATTTGGCTGGCCTCATGCAGCCGCCTGCAAAACTCATTACAGCCTGGAAGAAAAACATACATGTATTTGTGACAAAACATGCAACCGTCTGTGCTTTTCTGCATCCAAAACAAAAACATCCTGAGCAATGACCATGTATGGAGACACCATCAAAGCCCTCCAAATAGTTGGCCATCCAATCCAACCGCATTTAGTTGTGTATGGAGACACTATCAAAGTTCTCCTGACAGATAGCCATCCAGTCCAACAGCATGTAGTTGTGTATGGAGACATCATCAAATCCCTCCCAATAGATGGTCATCCAGTCCAACCATATTTAGTTGTGTATGGAGACACCACCAAAGTCCTCCTGACAGACTGCCACCCAATCTAACCTCATTTAATTGTGCATGGAGATACAATCAAAGCTCTCCTGACAGATGGTCATCCAGTCCAACCACATTTAGTTGTGTATTACGACACCATCAAAGTCCCCCCGACAAATGGCCACCCAGTCCAACCTCATTTAATTGTTAATGGAGACACTATCAAAGCCCTCCCAAAAGATGCCGATCCAGTCCAACCACCTGTAGTTGTGTATGGAGACACCATCAAAGCCCTCTCAACCGATGGCCATCGAATCCAACAGCATTTAGTTGTTTATGGAGACACTATCAAAGCCCTCTCGACAGATGGCCATCAAATCCAACCACATTTAGTTGTGTATGGAGACACCATCAATGCCCTCCCGACTGATGGCAATCCAGTCTATATAGCTAAAGTTGTTTTTCATCATGCTTATAGAGAAATCTATGAATCTGAGACTTGTTAGTAGAAAGAGAGGCTCTTGACACCCCCCTCGTGGCAGATAGCACTTTCATAAAACAACACCAAACAAAACCAACTCTTGTTGTTGTTCATTCGTTCAGTCGTCTCTGACTCTTCGTGACCTCATGGACCATCCCACGCCAGAGCTCCCTGTCGGCCGTCACCACCCCCAGCTCCTTCAAGGTCAGTCCAGTCACTTCAAGGATGCCATCCATCCATCTTGCCCTTGGTCGGCCCCTCTTCCTTTTGCCTTCCACTTTCCCCAGCATAATTGTCTTCTCTAGGCTTTGCCTGTCTCTCATGATGTGGCCAAAGTACTTCAACTTTGTCTCTAGTATCCTTCCCTCCAACGAGCAGTCGGGCTTTATTTCCTGGAGGATGGACTGGTTGGATCTTCTCACAGTCCAAGGCACTCTCAGAACTTTCCTCCAACACCACAGTTCAAAAGCATCGATCTTCCTTCACTCAGCCTTCCCTAAGGTCCAGCTCTCACATCCGTAGGTTACTACAGGGAATACCATGGCTTTGACTAGGCGGATCTTTGTTGCCAGTGTGATGTCTCTACTCTTTACTATTTTATCGAGATTGGACATTGCTCTCCTCCCAAGAAAGTGTTATTTCCTATTTCATTGGGTGTGCAGTAATCTTTGCACCTAGAAATACAAAGTCTGTCACGGCCTCCACATTTTCTCCCTCTAATTTCCAGTTGTCAATCATTCTTGTGGCCATAATCTTGGTTTTTTCGAGGTTTAGCTGCAACCCAGCTTTTGCGCTTTCTTCTTTCACCTTGATTAGAAGGCTCCTCAGCTCCTCCTAACTTTCGGCCATCAAAGTGGTGTCATCTGCATATCTAAGGTTGTTAATGTTTCTTCCAGAAATTTTCACCCCAGCCTTGCATTCGTCAAGCCCTGCACATCGCATGATGTGTTCTGCATACAAGTTGAATAGGTTGGGTGAGAGTATACAACCTTGCCGTACGCCTTTCCCAATCTTGAACCAGTCTGTTGTTCCATGGTCAGTTCTTACTGTTGCTACTTGGTCCTTGTACAGATTCCTCAGGAGAGAGACAAGGTGGCTTGGGATGCCCATCCCACCAAGAACTTGCCACAATTTATTATGATCCACACAGTCAAAGGCTTTAGAATAGTCAATGCAGCAGAAATAGATGTTTTTCTGAAACTCCCTGCCTTTCTCCATTATCCAGCGGATATTGGCAATCTGGTCTCTCGTTCCTCTGCCTTTTCTAAACCCAGCTTGAACATCTGGCAACTCTCGCTCCATGTATTGCTGGAGTCTTCCTTGCAGGATCTTGAGCAATACCTTGCTGGCATGAGAAATAAGGGCCACTATATGGAAGTTGGAGCAGTCTTTCGCATTTCCCTTTTTTGGTATGGGGATATAAGTTGATTTTTTCCAGTCTGATGGCCATTCTTGTGTTTTCCATATTTGCTGGCATATGGCATGCATCACCTTGACAGCATCATCTTTTAAGATTTTAAACAGTTCAGCTGGGATCCCGTCGTCTCCCCCAAAACTATTAAAATTAATATACATATATATGTGTGTGAGTATACGTATATGTATTGTCCAGTTTCCTTTTAAATTAATACCTGGTGCAAACCCTTGAAAGGTGCATCAATTACGCCTTTTAAACGCTTTCGACCAATCAGAAAGCGCCATGTCACTTGGCCCGCCTTCCACTGACAGAAGGAGTGTGGCCTCCAACGCAGACTGCCCCTGTGATTGCCCCGCCCTACCCCTCCTTCCTTGGCACCCTTGCCATAATGATTGGCTGTTCGGATTGTCTTTTAACGCTGTTCCATAGTTAATTCACTCTTATTGGTTAGAGGGCGCAAACTCCTCCCGCCTACCCTATATTCAATCCCGCCTTGGCGCCCTTAACGTTGTGATTGGCTGTTTGGACTGTCTTTTAACGCTATTCCTCAGTTTGCTCATCCTGATTGGTTAGGAGGTGTGAAATCCCGTCTACCCCTCCTTCAATCTCTCCTAGGCGCCCTTGCCGTTGCGATTGGCTGCTTGGGCTGTCTTTTAACGCTGTTCCGTAGTTTTTCACATTGATTGGTTAGAGGGAGGACGAGCCTAGGCTTTCGTTTCACATCCCGCCTCATTCATTTCCTCGCTTTCTGAGAGGAGGGAGATCAGGCGGGTGACAGGAAGAGTCCGGCGCGTGTCCGCAGTGGAGGCTTCCCAGGCGGATGGGCGGAGCCGTTGTTTATCATGTCAGGAGCAGACCACACAGTTGCATTGCATTTTTAACAAACAAAACACAAAGTTAACAAGCTTGGTATTCTATTAAATGTCCTTTGACCAGTATCTGGCCACTTGGAGTGTCTCTGGTGTTGCCGCAAGATGGTCCTCCATCGTGCATGTGGCAGGGCTCAGGTTGCATTGCAGCAGGTGGTCAGTGGTTTGCTCTTCTCCACACTCGCATGTCGAGGATTCCACTTTGTAGCCCCATTTTTTAAGGTTGGTGGTGCCAGAGCGCAGTCTGTTCAGCGCCTTCCAGGTCACCCAGTCTTCTGTGTGCCCAGGGGGGAGTCTCTCATTTGGTATCAGCCATTGGTTGAAGTTCTGGGTTTGAGCCTGCCACTTTTGGACTCTCGCTTGCTGGGGTGTTCCAGCGAGTGTCTCTGTAGATCTTAGAAAACTACTTCTAGGTTCTTGTAGGTTTTTTCAGGTTATAGGGCCATGTTCTAGAGGCATTTCTCCTGACGTTTCGCCTGCATCTATGGCAAGCATCCTCAGAGGTAGTGAGGTCTGTTGGAATTAGGACAATGGGTTTATATATCTGTGGAATGGCTGGGGTGGGGCAAAGAGCTCTTCTCTGCTGGAGCTAGGTGTGAATGTTTCAATTGACCACCTTCATTAGCATTTGAAGGCCTGCCTGAGCCTGGGAAAATCTTTTGTTGAGAGGTGTTAAGATGTGCCTGGTTGTTTTCTCTCTGCTGTTTTGCTGTTGTAATTTTAGAGTTTTTTAATACTGGTAGCCAGATTTTGTTCATTTTCATGGTTCCTCCTTTCTGTTGAAATTGTCCACATGCTTGTGTATTTCAGCGGCTTCTCTGTGTAGTCTGACATGGTGGTTGTTGGTGTGGTCCAGCATTTCTGTGTTCTCAAATAATATGCTGTGTCCAGGTTGATTCATCAGGTGCTCTGCTATGGCTGATTTCTCTGGTTGAAGTAGTCTGCAGTGCCTTCATGTTCCTTGATTTGTGTTTGGGCAATGCTGCTGCGTTTGGTGGTCCCTATGTAGACTTGTCCACAGCTGCATGGTATACGGTAGACTCCTGCAGAGGTGAGAGGATCCCTCTTGTCCTTTGCTGAACGTAGCATTTGTTGGATTTTCTTAGTGGGTCTGTAGATTGTATGTTGTGTTTCCTCATCAGCTTCCCTATGCGGTCAGTGGTTCCCTTGATGTATGGCAGGAACACTTTTCCTCTGGGTGGAACTACTTCTTGATTTAAGTCATTGATGTGCTGGCTGATACCCAAACAAGGGATGGGCTGGAGATGTCACTGCGGTGGTCCTTTCACTATTGGTTGCTACTCCACGGCGGATATCAGGTGGTGCAATACCAGAAGCGACCAGTAGCTGGCGGAGCCGTGAGGGAAGGATAGAGACAAAAAAGAGGCATGCGCATGCGCGGTCGAGCATTGTTCCCCCGTCTTGCGCCTGCGCAGTCGAGGCTTCCAAGTGGGGGGGGCCATGAGGGAAGGGTAGACACTAGACAGAGAAAGACAGAAAGAGGCCAGCGCGTGCGCAGTCGAGCATTGTCTCCATCTTGCACTTGCGCAGTCGAGGCTTTCCAGGCGGGTGGGTGGGAGGAGCCACGAGGGAGCGGTAGAGCGAGGAATCGAGAGAGGTCGGCGCGTGCGCAGTCTGAGCCTCGTCCCCCCTCCTCGCGCCACTCGAGGCGCTTTCCTATTGGTTGGCGGGGCGGCGGCGGTTGTGGCCTAGCGTTCTGCGCAGGCGCAGTCGGCTCCCGAAGCTGCTCCGAGGTTCGACGCCGTTGTGAGGAGAGAAAAAAGACAGTTTCTTTCCTTCCTTCCTCCCGCCTTCGCCGCTGCCGCTTCGCCGCCATTATGAGCGTGGAAGCGTACGGGCCCAGCTCCCAAACGCTGACGTTCCTGGACACGGAGGAGGCCGAGCTGCTGGGTGCCGACACGCAGGGCTCCGAGTTCGAGTTCACCGACTTCACCTTGCCCAGCCAGGGCCAGACGCCGCCCGCCGCCGCCGGGAGCGGGGCCTCCGCCTCTTCCTCCTCCGCCGCTCAAGGCCACGGCGGCCCGCCCTCTGCCGCCGCCCCGGGGCCCCTCGACGCCCAGGTGAGCAGCAGGGCTTGGGCCTAGTCCGCGCACCCCAGCCAGACGGGCCTGAGACTCCGCACTGGCCCTTTACACGCCTGTTGATCGTATTCTGTTGATACTATAGTATGTGTGTGCATAGCAGGCCTGGGCCAATTTCGGCCCTCCCTCCAGGTGTTTTGGACTCCCAGCTCCCACAATTCCTTACAGCCCTAGACAGCGGCTTCCAAATTGGCAACAATTCAGTGCCACTATAGACATAATCATAGAAATACAATATACACTAAACTGAAAAGAATTTGGGAGAAAGAATGCAGGAATATCTGCTAATGGCCAAATTAACTAAATATCAGGAGAAACAAAAGTAACGAGATTTTTTTTGGAAAAGTGGAAGTTGGCCATGGCATATCTGAGTGGAGAATTGGTGACATAGAGGAGTACCATTGGGAATTTAGGATTACTGTGAATAAGGATAGATAAATTAGTTTAAAGCAGTGGTTCTCAACCTGTGGGTCCCCAGATGTTTTGGCCTGGTAAACTGGCTGGGATTTCTGGGAATTGTAGGCCAAAACACCTGACGACCCACAGGTTGAGAACTACTGGCTTAAAAGCTTCATAGTGCTTTGGTGTCAGTATTGATGGTGAAGGGTGTGCGGGTGTGAGGAAGAGGTTTCATTTTGTGTGGGATGGGGTATTGGGAGTATTTATGGTCTACAATATGTCGTGTTGTTGCTTGGTTGTTATGGTGAACTTTTATATTAATAAAAATTTAATCACAAAAATATATTAAATAAATTGTTAAAAGCACAAAGACCCAAAATCGTAATTCAGGAGCCATTCAGTCATATTTCAATAATTTCATAGCTGCCTACTGCATTGTGCTACTCTCAGAGTAATTGGTCCCACAGCCAGGTTTTAACTTTCTTTCTAAAGGCCAGGAGGGAGGGAGCAGGTCGAATATCACTGGGAAGGGAGCTCCACAGTCAAGGGACTACCATGGAGAAGGCCCTGTCCCTTATTCCCATCAGTTGCACCTTTGAAGGAGGTGGGACCAAGAGCAGGGCCTCCCCAAAAGATCTTAGTGTCTGTGCTAGTTCATAGAGGGAGATATGTTTGGACAGGTACCCTAATAATAATAATAATAATAATAGAAAGAGCCATTGTTATACACACATATAATATCAGAAAGGGCAAGTCTTATACAAGCACAAATAATATATTATTAATATAATAATAATAGAAATATAAAGGGCCAGTCCTATACACACAGACATAATGATATATCATTATGTTTAATAGCATAATAAGAAGTAGAAGAATAGGAAGGCTCTTTCCAATACAGTAAGTAAATATTATTTGTGTTGTTATTATATTGATAATATATCATTATATGTGTGTTTATAGGATGGGCCCTTTCTGTTCTTCTAATTATTATTGTATTAATAATATATTGTGTGTGTGTATAGGACTAGCCCTTTCTATTCTACTTATTATATTAATAATATATATGTGTGTATAGGAATGCCTCTTTCCAATATTATTTTTGTTATATTAATAACATTATATTGTGTGTATTGGACTGGCCCTTTCTATTCTACTTCTTACTGTTCTATTAAACTTAATGATATAATATCTATGTGGGTAGGACTGGTCCTTTCTATTATTCTATTATTTTTCTATTAAGCATAACAATATATCCTTATATGTGTGTATAGGAATGGCCCTTTCTATTATGATTATGATTATATTAATAATATATGTGTGTGTGTGTGTGTGTAGAACTCGTCCTTTCTATACTACTTTCTATATTAATATATTATGTGTGTATAGGACTGGCCCTTTCTATTCTTATAGTTATTATTATTCTATTAAACATAATGATGTATCCTTATATGTTCGTGTATAGGAATGGCACTTCCTAATAGTATTTCATTAATATATTATATGTGTGTATAGGACTGGCCCTTTCCAATATTATGATGATGATAATAATAATAATAATAGTATACTATATGTTTGTATAGGACTGTCCCTATTATTATTATTATTATTATTATTATGTTATATGTGTGTCTAGGACTGACTCTTTCTGTCTACTTGTTATATTAATAATATAATATTATGACTGTATAGGAATGGCTCTTTGTATTATTATTATTGTTATTATATTAATAATACATCTTTATGTGTGTTTATAGGACTGGCCCTTTCTATTTCTTTTATTATTATATTATTAATATATTATTGTTATATGTGTGTGTATAAAACAACAGAGTGTTGACCCTTTATGTTGTTATAATATAGATCTATATCTGTACATATCTGTAAAGCATATTATGTTGGCCCTTTATATCATTTAATGTTAAAGGAAGGTAAGACAACATAGGACTGGCCCATTATATTATTGTGATATTGATAATAATACTATATTTTATTATATATGTGTATGTGTAAAACGACACACACACACACATCCATATGTGTGTGTGTGTCCGTCCTGGGATGCAGGACAAACTGTAGGGAAGTGATGTTGTGTTGTTGTTGTACCTTACTTGTTTCTCTCTATGCACAAGACTCAAAAGTGGCTTCCAACCAATTCATTGTAATTTTAAATCAAAAAAATACACAAACATTAAAATAGAATTAAATGTTTTTTTCAATCATTTATAGATAGATGTCTTATAATATTCTTTTTTATTTTACCCTGCTTTTTCTCTATACAAAAAAGACTCAAAGCATTTTAAAATCCCAAAATATACAGACATTAAAATAGTTATAGTTCATCTACAAAACTATTTATATCCTTCAGTTTGGTTTTCATTATCATAGTTATGTGAGGACTTTAAGGGACCCTAGAATTCAGCTGCCATTCTGAAAAGCTTGCCTTTGTTGCTCTCAATGCCGTTTCTATAGGGATCTAACCTTTGGTTTAATAGGTGGACAGGGGAAACATGGCAGTTCCCTCTGTTGTGTTTCCTGTAATTGATGACTGGAGCTGGATCTACAGGGCCATATAGTCCTTTTTCTGAATCCACATTTTTGAACTGGATTTGTTATGTACATCCAGCCTAAGTTAAACACAAACTTCTAAGGACCTCCTTTCCAAAAAACGTCTTCCCTGTTAAGCAGCGAGACAATGGGCATTAAGCAGAAGGTCATTATGTTTTCACAGAGCTGTAATTAAACAGATGAAAAGGCTAACGTCAGGAGAGAATGCTTCTGGAACATGCCATACAGCCTAGAAAATTCACAACAACCCAAAGGCTATAGGGTTTTATAAAATAATTACATTTGCAGGTGCTATGTATCAGCTGAAATGGTTTGACTCACTGCTCAGCCATAGAATCCCACTGGGAGAGTCACACTCTCTCGGTTTCAGAGGCAAATCCACTCTGAACAGATGATGGAGAAATCGATGGTATATATTTAAAATAAATTATATTTTTAATTGGGTGCCACATTTTGTCCAAGGGAGCCGCCAAAAAGAATTGGTTTAAAAACTTTAATTTAAAAAACAAAGAATATAAAATTGCTACCTTGATCATTTAAAAGAAATAAAGGACACAGACTAATAAGGTACTTCCCTGCTTCCATGTTAAAAGGCTACTTAAACAAGGTCTTTGCCTGCTGGAAGGGCCTTTCGAGGGGTTGCTAGAATCAAAGGCATCACAGTTTATGGTTGCTAGAATTAAAACAGTGGCCTCCTTCCTCTTGGCCAAGTCCATAGGGGTGTTTTGCAGACTCCGTCATTATCCCTCTGATGATCTGCATTTCGAGTGTGCTTTCGGTTCCCATGTTTTGGTGTTTGCCACTGCCGGCCCTAAAAAAATGATGTTTGTTCTCTATCCCAGGAGGAAGTGAGCTGAGTTGTTCTCTCTTCTTTCTCAGAAGTCCCATAAAAATGGGTTTTTTTTAATTAAAGATTTTTATGTGCAATCAAAACTATACTCCCAAAGTGGGGAAACAACAATACAAGAAAGGAAAGTACATTGAACACATAATTCAACTCAAAGCTGTGTTTGTTCAGAAGCGAGCTTGATTGAATATAGTATGGGGTGTGTGTGTGTGTATGTCTGTGCATATATATGTGTAATTATAGTATTGTTGTTTTTATCCTCTTTCAAACTCTAAAGAAGCTTGGTCTGTCGTCTAAATGGAGATGAACATATTTTATTATTTTTATTTTGTAAAAGGTTGGAAGGGAGTGTGTGTATTTTAGCTTGGGTAACTGGCGTTGCCAGGGTTATTTGAAAAAGTTATTTTTTTAATTGTACAGAATGCATAAAGTTGTGGGTGAACTACAACTCACATAATGTCGGGTTAACCCCAGAAAACTCCATCAGTACTTAAAGTTTGTTATGTTGGGCAAATTTGCTCTAGATGCATCATCAGTGGGGTTCAGTGTGCTCTCTGGGTGCAGAGTAAACTACATCTCCCACTATGGTGAGTTAGTGTCCTTACACCCCTCCAGTAGGTTGAGTTAGTTATGGGGATTCTGTGTGCCAAGTTTGGTCCAGGTCCATCATCAGTGGAGGTCAGTTTCTCTTGTTGTGAGTAAACTACAACTCCCAGAAATGAAGACCAGTTCCCCCCAAAACCCTCCAATAATCAAATTTCGACATATCAGGTATGTGTTCTAAATTTGGTGCAGACCCAGAAAGCTGGGTTCAGTGCTTTCTGGATGCAGGTGAACTACAACTCCCACAATGAAGGTCAGTTCCCACAAACCCCTGCAGTATGTTCAGATGATCATGGGGCTTCTCTGTTCCAAGTGTGGTCCAAGTCCATTGTCGATGGGGGCCACAGTTTCTCTGGATGCAGGTGAACTACAGTTCCCAGATTCCCAGGGCAATCACCCCCAAACTCTGCCTGTATTCACAGTTGGTCATGTTGGTGGGGTTAAGAGTGTTCTTGGTGAAGGGTGAAGTACAACTCCCACATGTCGGTCCCCCCACAAACACCTCCAGTATGTTTTGTTGGCCATCCGGGTTCTGTGTTCAAAGTGTGACCCATATTCATCA